TTGACAGTTAACGAAATGATATTTTAAACAAAATATAGTCATTCATGAATTAGACAGAGACCAAGTCACATCAAGAAATCACAAAGTATCAACACTCGATTTGTTAATTAAAAAGAAAATGAACTAACCAATAAATTAAAGACTCAATTCAACGAAATTTGCATTTTGAACAGTCTTGCTGAAACAAAAATAGATGATCAACAAGAATTCAGTGCAAATGATACTTTCGAAAATGAAAATAATGGTCGTGTAGATTTGAATGATTAAGTTGAATTAAATAAGTCTAACACGAGTTTATGTGGAGAAGAAATATTTGAAACAACGTTACATGAAAATGAGATGTGTGATTTATATAGTGAAGATTCAAGTTGTGACAAATCCACGGATGATATGATTTGTGATAAAATTGTCATTGAAAGTGATTCAAAAAATCAAAATGATATCAACGACATTAATTTTGTATCTAATATTTCTCCTGAATTTTTAAAACCTGGATGTGCAACAAATATCAATAACAAAATTAAAATGTATTTTGAATCAAACTATAGTTTGTCTCATACAAAAAGTGTCAATAAAAAAAATCATACATCGCTTCATTGTTGTATTCTATGATCATTTGTTTGTTGCCATTCTCGAAACAACAAAAAGAAACAGTTAAAAACTTTGTTGAGTTTGTCATTTTGTTTTATTTCAACGTGTCTCTATCTGAAATTGATTTGCGTATTGCGTCTTCGACAACTGAAAACAGAATGGTTCAATTCAAAGCAAATGATGATGATTTAATAATAAAAGAATTTGTCTCGTGTGTTTATTTTTCAATAATTGTAGACAGTTCGAAACGGAAGGGCGTTAACTTAGTAGCAATTGTTGTTAGATTTGTTGATAACAACTTTATTGTTACTTAAAGAAAACTGGTTGTGTTCGGGTTGTTTGAAAAAAGTACTGGTGCAAATTTGAGTGCTAGGGTAATAAATTGTCTAAAAGAAAGAGATGTTGATTTAAAGAAATTAATTTTTATATGTTGTGATGGTGCTAGTAATATGTTAGGTTTGAGATGTGGAATGATTAAACTTTTGTGTGAAGAATTACACAAAATTAAAATTAACATGAAAGGTATTGATTCTCATGTTTTTACTCAATACTGCAATTGTCATAGAATGAATGTGTGCGAAGGTTTTATTTGGAAAAACACTAATTGTTTAATTATTTTGGAGGTATTAAACTGGTTTCAACTTAGTACAACAACAACTGAATGGGATAATTTTATTATTAAAGAAAAACACCTTCAAAAAATTACAATTTCGACCACTCCGGGGACACGTTGGTTTTATCATGCGTTATTATTGGTTGTGTTAGTCTACAACAAATCATTGGTGTTTGAGTTTATGAATAAACCATCAATTCAAAAGTGTATCATATTAAAAATAAGCGAAATAAAACATTTGAAATCAAGTGAAATACCTAAATACTTTAATTTGTTTGATAAGCAAAACAATACAGTTGTATTGAGTTTGTTTTATATTACTACTGTTGCTAAAATAGTCAATGATGCACTTCAGCAAAAGTTTGGTTTGTTTGAAGAACAGTTTTGTTTGATTATTAATATGATTCAATACTTTATTGATTTTAAAGTAAACATCAAAAACTAACAAATAAACGAAACAAATTCTTTTGAAAAAGCTGCGAATGATGTTGTTATTCAAATGATGAACGATTATATCAACGCACTCGTTATTCGTTTCAGTTCTATTGGCAACAAATGTGATTATGAGTTGTTAATAAATGATATTACCAATTTTAAAGACGTGTTGATTTTGAAAGAAAATAATACATACAATTTACTGTTCTGTGTATTGACAATTCCAAATCAAATGTTTAAAACGAGTAAAAAGACAATTGAATTGGCAAAACAATTTTCATATCTTAAAGATGAAATATCTAATCTGAAAATTGTGATTTTTAACAATCGTAAAATTATTTCTGATTATTTAATTGAAAATAACAAAATGTTGAAAATACAGAAACTTGAGTGTTTCCAAATTGAGAAAGTTTTGACATTACTGGATATGTTCAAGATGAAGCTTATTTCAGAAATTGAATATCCACTTATCAAAAAAGTTGTTTTGGCTGGAATTGGAATTGTTCCTACTTCGAGTGATGTTGAATCTTTCTTTTCAATTGTCAAAAACATCTTTCAAAACAATATGGAAATAAAAATTCTTGACATAAAAACTGCCATCGCTTTGAATAAAACGAAACTTAAGGTGAACTTACTTGAATAACTATTATAGTTCATTTAATGGTATTTTATTATAATAAATAAAAAGTGTTACGGACACAATTTAAACCTTCATTTTAATCTTTTAAAGCATACCCTAAAAACCGTTTGTGAATTAAGTAAAAGATGTAACAATATACTAACACAACAGAATTAATATCTAACCTCACAAAAGTGGGTAAAACCAAACCTAATATATGTTCACTTAATCATCTCTTTCAAAATATCTTTTTCTTACACTCGAAGTGTAATTGATTTATAAAGTGCTTAAATTGTGTAAAATAATTGTTTTGTTTATTTGGTTTTTTTTGCTTTGGACATCCTCTTTTAAACGATTTATGAATAATAAACACCCACATATGATATATTTTATCAAAAAGTTAAACACCAAATTTATTTTTTTTTTAATTTAAAAAACAAAACCACCCAAACAATTTTGTTTTTATTTGAACTTATTTATAGAGCTTAACTGTCCGAAATTTAAAAATTTGGAGACCCTGAATATTACCAACATTTGTACTCCTGGTCAACTTGTTTGTGTAAATGAAAAAATTTTTGGGTTCAAAAATCGTTGCAAGGCAATCCAATCATACTCTGTAGCTTTTTCCTTTTTTACTCACAAAATTTTTGTCTCATTTTTGTTTTTCTAGATTTTTTTTTCGATTATCAAGTGCACTTTTAATCAACAAAATACACTTTTCTTTTTGAAAAAATACTTTTACCAAACATATTTTAGAATTATGCAAAAAATACAAATTTAAAAATAAATCAAATACATTTTATATTTAGAACTAGTCTTTTAATTCCCGATCATTTTAGTCTACATAATGTATTATTTATCTATAAAAAATGAAAAGTTATTCAAAATAAACAAAATAACACTGCGATTATTAATTGTTTTAACCAACAGGCATAAACGCTTTTTGACCAAAAAGACACAAAATACATTAAAATATTAAAACTAAAAAACCCGGTTCTTAACAGAAATAATACACTTTTGTCTCAAAAATAAAACCAAAACGGCAAATAATACATTTATTACAAACTTTGATGACGTAAGGCAACGGGAAATATTATTAGATTGGTTTTTATAAAACCCCAATCTCAAAAATAATAAAAAAATCATCTATG